ACTTTAAAAATGTAGACTAATAGATATAAATTACACGAGGACTTCCATGCCAATTTCAATAGTCCTCGCCCACTGACGGCAAAAACAAAAGCAGCCGCAAGAGATTTACATGCATATTTGGCCTGCTTAGCGTCAAACACAGAGACAGATGCGCACGAGATTTGCATGCTTATTAGGTCTCCTTAGCTCCTGACCTACTGACCTGCCTAATTTACATTCCGGCAGAATTATCAAGAAATAAATTCCCCTAACTTTCAGAGAGTTATCTCAGAGAAAAAAATTAGAAATGGAAATATAATGATATACCTTCGTCCTATACACTGATCATTCACACTGATTTCACTTTTCAGATGCATATTAAAACTCACATTTATACGAATCCGTGGAGTTGTAAACAAATGGACAAGTCCCCATGCAGCTTCTCTGTTTCTGTGGTTGAATTCCTCCCAGGCCGTTATTGTACTCAGCACAAAATTCTACAATGAATGCAAATTTAAATAAATTCTTAAAAAAATTAAGAAAAGCGGTTTTAGAGGAGAGAAAGGCAAAAAGACTTATAAACCATAATTAAAATTAACTTTTTTACCCAATGATCAATATAACATGTGATGGACATACAAAACACTCCATTTCCTTACCACCGATTATCTTGGTCACTGGTGAACAAACTTCAACAAAGCCTGTTCCACGGTCATTGAGCACACAATGGTATTCTAATTGTTCACCAAAGGTATTGGAAAAATCTTGACAGTGTTTAATTTCTGCTCGTTTTATTACGTCTTCTTTTGTCGTAGGGCACACTGGCACATTTATAGCAGACTCTTGTATTCCTTTATATTCTTTATAGGGTACCTTTTGGCAGAAAAAACATATTAATGATCAGTATATATTAATAAAGCAACATCAAAGGTACAGAAAACCAAATAAGATTTAAAATTTAGTGAGGTTAATTTCTTCCTTTTCTTTATTTTGTTTTACAAAAATGTTATAAGTTTACTCCTGAAGCTGATGGTAATAGCATCATAAACATAAAGGCACAGCACAGTGTTTGCCAAACCACTGCCTTTATTTTTCCTCCCTTGAAGATGTAATAAAGAAGTGGCAAATCTGAAAGTATTATCCAAAAGTTAAAATTATGACGACTTGTTTAATATTATAAACGCTTCATTTTAGTCAAATTGGTAATGCTTACAAATTGAATGAAAACGTGTTTCTTGCATTACTACTTAAGCTCTATTCTTATTTAATTTAGAGATAAAAAGACATTTAAATATATTTTTGCATATTCTGTTTTTCAAAAAAATATGTAAGCATACCTGAGTAAGTTTTTCCGGGTGTGTCATATTTGTTTATAATTGAATACGTTTCTGTAGTATGATTCTCAAACATTTTTGAAGGTTTACTGAGTGATGTACTGGCATGTGTAGTGTTCATCCCCTTTTTCTGTTCCTGTCTGGACTTCCCAGAACCAATCGGTTTCTTTGTCTGACCTTTGACTTCATCGTCTCTTCCTTTGAGGTTATGATTTTTTCTCTGTTTTGGTCTTCTCTTTGGAGGCCTTATGGTAATTTCCAGTCTTTTCTTTGCTTCTCGGGGAATATGGAATTCGTTTAAAATAACGTAGTTTTCTCCAAATGTGTATTGCCATCTTTGGCACTTTTTCAGATGTATCACGAATTGCAAGCTTCTCTTTTTGCAGACAGGAGCTGATAAATATGTTAATGCTCCCTCAAAACTTTTGGGAAGAAATTTCTCGTTTAACTTTTCAGCATTGGTTTTTTTGTAAGGTATTACGGAAAAACTAGAGGGCTCCCCTGGCATCAACAAATTTTCTCCCACTAGAGGCATTTGTATGGATTTCTTCATCTGGCAAAAGCCCTGGCTGTCGATGCAACAAAAAAATCCTGTTTCTAGTCCAGATTTTGGGAGTTTAAGGCAAACTAACTCTGAAAATCCATGAGAATATTTATGAACATCTGTAATTGATAGCTTTTGGAGTCAGATAGAGAGAAAGTATGCTTGGTTTTACCCCCAAGAAACGGAATTTCAAGAGAGCAAACGGAAGAATTACAATCGTATACAATCATATTGTAATATATGTCTTAAATAAATACCCGGTTAATGTTTTAATCTTTATTTATCTCTAATTTTTACTTTTACTATGTTAATGCATTTAAGTCTAATCCCAATGAAAAAAATATAATTAAAAAATACATGCATAACAGATTTAACAAAAACAGTACATGATGTAAAGTCTTTAAGACATCTAGTATCAAGACCTTTTTCGTTTGATCTCTAGATGATACCTCATTTAAACCTAATAAAACATGGATAAGTACGTATTCATAAAAGGTCCCTACATTAAACTTACTTTAAATTGAAATCATATTATATTTTCATATAATATTTTTTCAATTAGTCACATTTTTAAAATTGTCTTTACCATTGCAGGCTAGAGAATACCAATAGCAACAATCATATTGTTTTCCTTGAATGTGGAAAGATGTTGCTTTTCTGTCAGGAATTTGGACTTGAACAAACATAACTTCTTCTGTCCATTGTTTTCCAACTGAAATACAGAAAAAAGGTTTTCAGTATCGGGAATCTATTCAAGATATTTTTTCAACAAACATACACAATGCGTTGAACATTCGATAATATGACAATATGCTTCAATTGTTATCAATCACTCTTATTTTGCTGGAACATTTTTTCGCAATGCAGACCCTCTGCTCGCCTCAAATTCTCATCCGTATGATTGTTGGAATGCAATAAAAATTATTTCTCATTCCAACAATAATATACATGTAATTGTAATAATATTTGAATTCAAAGAATAATAGTGCATTTTGTTTAAAGAATATTTACATATTGTTTGTCGTCCTTGCCAGTAATCTTTTTGCAGAAAACAAACTGTACGATTTCTGTAGAAATAAACCAAAGTTAAACTTCGCCATTTGACCAGGAGTTGCAGTTGAAATTCAAGGAAGACAACCACTGTTTCACTTTGGATTTCTGTATCTGTATATTAAACAATAAAAATATAAAAATAACTTGAATGCATTGAAACATATTATTAAAACATCATACAGACACTGATCTTTAAAACACGGAAAGGGGAGCTGAATGATGCATCTTTAACCTGAAAAGGTACTTGTACTCTCCAACTACTAATCGTATATTTTATGGGAACATCCTGAATTTTACATAAAACATTAATTGTATTTGTTTTCAGAAAAAAATATTTTGCTCGTTTAAATAATTTGCCGATTGTGTTGGGTGCCCCTTTTCAATGAATGCCACAATGTGTAATTAATGTTAGGATTCTAAGATCAGATTGATTATTTTTAATCAGTGAAAGTAAAATAATTTGTATTAATATCCAATCTCTTTAAGGTAATCGTATGGTATTAGAGATTGTTTGTTTAATATTTAAAAAATGACCAGAATGTAACAGTTCCCTCGGAATGACATGGTACGAATTTTTAGAAAGCAATTTCTGAACACACCCTTTCTAATCTCTTCTTCACGATCTCTATTCCGGAAACCCGATGCTGAACCTGGTATATATTGCAAATAAATTTACATATTACCATTGAATGGTCCATATCTTAATGTTGATAAGTCCGTAGTGTGTAGAAGAAATTCCTTGATCCTGCCATTCGAAGTCTCGACAAAAGTGATTTCTTGTTTCTTGATAGGTAAATCACAGCTTGTTGAAAGGATATATGTCCCTGTATCACCTAAACAATAGACATGTATATAGAAAATGCAGATTCTTTTCCCTGTAAAATAACTATTTGCTCTAATCAATCGATGCATAATTGTATATTCTTTTCAGTTTACAATTTTAAGTAAATTTGTTAACTATTTTCTCATTTCAATGTTGAAAACATTCTTTTTTAAATTCTATTATAAACTAACGTGTTCCAGCTGTCAGAGTATTTGCATTTTGTGCCACTTGAAGGTTGTTTGGGAGTCTTTGCAATTTTCTTTTCATAACGTGTATTGTCCCATGCGTTGGATCTCCAAAACAAGATAAACTCTTGAAATAATACACAAAGTAGCCTTGGAAAAGAAAGTGATTTTTGCCAATCCTATTTTCTACAATGAAGATATGTATTAGATAAGTATAGTTTTAAAAAAAATTCTTTTAGAAATTTGATAGTTTTATAAGAAATACGATTGTCTTTTGTTTCATGTTAAATATACATGTACATGTATGTACCTGCAAAGCTAGCAATCACAAAAGACGTAAACCTTTCTGATCGAAGAGCAAGAACCAAGTTTGTTTTCCCTCTCTTAGAAAAAGGGGAATCTGTAAAATAAGATGCTGCATCCTTATTTTAAATTTTGTAACAATAAATGCTGGAAACTCTCAAATGGTTGGAATATACACAAAGGTAATACAATGTCAGACTTAACAGTACTAGGGTTTTATAAAATCGATTTTTTAAAATAAAAGTCCAACTATTACGTATTTTGTTCTACATCAATGATGCATAATTACAATATACTCCAGTATTTCGTTTTTAGTTTTTGTTAGATTTTACCTGTCATTATTTTCAGTAGAACACAAATGTACCTACATTTTACATACAAGAAGCAAAATAAAAATCATTTGATATAATCACCGTATCTAATTCTGTTAAGTACAATAGAAGGTGGCCAATTAACCACTCAAAACATTGTTCTGGTACTCGACTTTTTAACTTACAGGCTAAAAATAAAGAACATTTCTGCATATCCAAGTGCAGTCTGCTGGATATGCGCCGTTATCGCAGGCGCAGTTATTATTTAACCTTTCATTGCGAAATTGCAACCCTTAGTTTTTTTTTTTCGGAAAAGTTATCTTCCTTTTACAATGAAGCGAGGCTGAGGCGCAGAAAAAAACCCAGAAATAGAAATTGATTTCTTAAGCATAAGATAGGCGGTATCGATTCAAATTTTTATTTGTTGAAAACGGTAAGGTGTTACTTTCTCGGGATTTGCGGTGATTCTTAGTGGATGGCTAAAAATATAATGCCGAAGTTCAAAAGTTTCTATTCACAAAGCCCGAGGAAAGTAGCACAGGCTGAATCGCATTTGTTCAATATCTTTATATATATCTATATATAAAAAATAATCATAAATAGAAGGAAGTATCAATGCCTTAATTGCTTAATCGCTTACGTTAATTAATTAATTAATTATATAATTAATTATATATATATATATATATATATAGAAAGCACAAAGAAATTCACTTTTACATGGATACCCACTTCCGCCCCAGCCCGGGGTTGAACTCACGACCTACGGAATCTGTCTCCTAGCAGTACAGGAACAGCGCGCTAGACCGCTCGGCTATCTAGGCAAGTCAAAAAACTTGCTTTCGATGCCGATGGAATTCTCGCGGCGCTGTCCTACACTACACGGTCATTGAGAATAGAAGTGAGATACAGTTATTTGGACATTAGTTTTAACAGAGGATTGAAACCAATACACGTTGTAATGAAATTAATTATTATTTATAAAGCACATTTTACAACAACTCTTAAACTAATATAACTGCCCTAAGTGAAGAAATATTAATATAGAAAGCACAAAGAAATTCACTTTTACATGGATACCCACTTCCGCCCCAGCCCGGGGTTGAACTCACGACCTACGGAATCTGTCTCCTAGCAGTACAGGAACAGCGCGCTAGACCGCTCGGCTATCTAGGCAAGTCAAAAAACTTGCTTTCGATGCCGATGGAATTCTCGCGGCGCTGTCCTACACTACACGGTCATTGAGAATAGAAGTGAGATACAGTTATTTGGACATTAGTTTTAACAGAGGATTGAAACCAATACACGTTGTAATGAAATTAATTATTATTTATAAAGCACATTTTACAACAACTCTTAAACTAATATAACTGCCCTAAGTGAAGAAATATTAATATAGAAAGCACAAAGAAATTCACTTTTACATGGATACCCACTTCCGCCCCAGCCCGGGGTTGAACTCACGACCTACGGAATCTGTCTCCTAGCAGTACAGGAACAGCGCGCTAGACCGCTCGGCTATCTAGGCAAGTCAAAAAACTTGCTTTCGATGCCGATGGAATTCTCGCGGCGCTGTCCTACACTACACGGTCATTGAGAATAGAAGTGAGATACAGTTATTTGGACATTAGTTTTAACAGAGGATTGAAACCAATACACGTTGTAATGAAATTAATTATTATTTATAAAGCACATTTTACAACAACTCTTAAACTAATATAACTGCCCTAAGTGAAGAAATATTAATATAGAAAGCACAAAGAAATTCACTTTTACATGGATACTCACTTCCGCCCCAGCCCGGGGTTATATATATATATATATATATATATATATATATATATATATATATATATATATATATATATATATATATATATATATATATTTCCATTTCTAATTTTTTTCTCTGTGATAACTCTTTGAAAGTTAGGGGAGTTTATTTCTTGATAATTCTGCCGGAATGTAAATTAGGCAGGTCGATAGGTCAGGAGCTAAGGAGGCCTAATACGCATGGAAATCTTGTGCGCATCTGTCTCTGTGTCTGACGCTTAGGAGGCCAAATATGCATGTAATTCTCGTGCGGCTGCCTTTCTGTTTGACGTCAGTAGGCGAGGACTATTGAAATGGGGATGGAAAAGTGGACAGACGCTTTCCTGATATTTAGTAGCATTTACCTTTCAGTGCACAAAGACAAAACACAACGCTTGCTCAAATACATGCACGACGTCCGAATCGGGGCAGGCAGAGGGGGCAACTTTATGAAATACGATGAGCAGTTTAGACTCAAGCTTAGCCTTAATACCTCTACTTCTTGGGAAGACATTGACACTGAATTGTGGCTGATGTACATGTCTGGGGGGTCAAATATCTCACAAACACAGGCTAGCACACCCTCACTTGCATCACAGCCTAAGTGTTACCACTACAACTTTCAAGGCCATTGTACTAAACAGGGTTGCACATATGCACACATATGCATGAAGTGTAACAAACCAATGCAGCAATGTTTCTTAGTCCGCCCTTTCAACAACCAAAGTCCTCGTGCACAAAACTACAATTTCGTCCTTATTGAACAAATGCTTTTACCCAGCGGGGACCACGCCCCAGGGCTATGGGACCTAGGTTTTTCACCCATTAAACTTGACCAAATAATGCCCTTGCTTCAACAATATCCAAGTAAAGAAATAGCTGCAGAGATAATTGGGGGATTGCATCAGGGGTTTTCTTTGCTATACGAGGGCCCACGCACTGGGTCATTTGCAAACAACCTCTTATCAGCTAAAACACACACAGCAGAGCTAAACATCAAAATTCAGGAAGAAGTTAATAAAGGCAGAATTTGGGGGCCCAATTACCCATAGAAAACTTGAACATTTCCCCAATAGGTATTGTCCCCAAAGCAGACGGGGGTGGAAGATGATCACACATCTCTCGTATCCACCTGATGAAAGTACAGTCGTTTGGCCAGTTCCGGATTTTGGCCAGTTCCGAATAATTAGTAATGTAAGGACTGATAATTAATAAATTCAACGGTGTAAAAATAAATTGTTTTTATGGTAAGAAGGCTTATTTATTAGTGTTTGATTTTGCGAAGTTTTGATTTTTTTACCCTCGGTTTGGTTTCGTTATCGTACTCGAAACAGTCGACATACTTTTACAATGCAACAAACGTGAATCACCGCGACGCGCAAGTCTGCAGAAAAACCTCTGTAGATTTATAAATTTTTCACATAAAACCACATTCCAGGTATCAAAAGTAAGTTTGATATGTACTCTAACATATACTAAAAATTTGTCAAAAATAAATATTTAGAACACTGTAAGATATTAAAATATTTTCGTCTTCTTATTTTACCAGTTCCGAATACCCATTTTAAACACTATTATAAATTCACTCGTCGTTATTTTCTTCATTGTAAACCTGGTTTATTATACCCCCGCTTGTAAAACAGGAAGAAGTGGTAGATAGTAAAGGGATGT